TTTCCTTTTATCTTTATTATAAATCCCATTTTGCAAAGAAGTCTAATACCCAAGGTCACACCACTAAATGATGGAGATTGGATTTGAACCTGGGCTGTCTGAATCTGTATTTCTTCACAAATAGAGCCCAGCCAAGTTTCCTTTGGAGGCTACATTGCACCTAAGGTCTTGGCGTTCCAGGCATAATTTCCTACTTTTGACCCTGAGCCTGCTCCCAGAAAGCCTCAAACAGTAGCTTTCTGTGCAGTGCTCTGTGCAGCTGAGGGGTGCGAGCTCTTCTGATGGTCAGCGGGGCGGTCAGAGGTCCAGTGTGAGGAGAGCCCCATCCTGAGATGCCAGGGAGGCAGCCATGGCTTTCCCCACTCCAGGGCCTGCTGGGACTTCAGCGCAAGACCTTCTGGAGAGGCTGTTTTTCTTGAGCATGTTGGAGCTGTTTACAGGATAAGCAGTCATACAGACTAGGTGCTGGAACACACTGACCTTAATAGGGACTTCTTTCTGACTTCTGCGGACCTACAGGTACCTCTGAGCCAACCTTGCCTATTCCATCCCAGGGCTGGGTTGAATCCAACCAGGACCCTTGACTTGCCCTGTCTACTATCTACTTCCTTGTATTGATAATCACCATGTTGTAGACAGCTGAATTAGATAGAAATATTATAGACAGTCAGAAAAGGCTGGCTTCGAAGCAGCCAGTGTGGAAGACAAGATACCTGGCAATTGTGGGAGAGACAGGCACTTCCGCTGTGGGCCAGACCTCAAGACGAAAGATTAAACAAATGCACCTACCTACCTCCCCAGGGATGGGCCTGAGGGATTGAGATTATAAATAGGTTTCAATCACCTTGAAGAAGCCAGGAAGAGTCACTAATTTAACTCTGTACAGGAAAAGCCCCTGTTCTGTATTCATGCCCACTTGTTAGTCACTTGCTTCTCCACTTGATCCTGATTTGATCAATTTTACCTGAGCGATTATACTTGTAATCTTATTAGTTTTGTCCCACCTCATGCCCACCTTACGAGTTCCCATGTTTCCCATCTTGGATCTGCCTCACCTCGTGACTTCACTCTATAAAAGTCCCTAGAAAAGGTAAGTTCTTTGGCAATGCACTTGAGTCCCCTTTTGTCTCTCTCTCAGACAGAAACTTTCGTTCCCCCAATAACTATATTCTGCTCTTAACCTCCATTGTTCCTAAAATTCATGCTTCGATTTTAGAGAACAGGAACTCATCCTAGATATCTTTCAGGTTGGGAGTTTCTTTCCCTGATATCAACCACAAAGTAGAAAGAACAAACATAATAATCCCATTTTACAGCTGGGAATGGAGCCTCCATTGACCTGCCATGGTAAGCTGCTCTGAGGTCCTGGTTTGGCCCGTTAGGTTTCTTTCAGACAAAGCCTTACTGGGATTTCCAGAGCCTCACAGGGAGCTGGTGTGGGTGAGGAAACCAGCATGCTTGCCTCAGGTGTAGCTCAGCTTGTTATACGATCTTGGGAAGCGTCTTCCTTTCTTTGAATATGTCTTGCCATCTGTCCATGTTAACCTGAAAGTCCTTCCTTGCCCTTATTTGAGAAATGGGGATAATCATAGTGCGCTCCCTCATGGGGTTATTTTGAGAACTAAATGTAAAGCATTTGGAACTGTGCCTTACACCACCTTCTCCTTCTCTTCTTCCTCCTCCCCTTTTATACCCTCTCCTCCTCCTCACCCTCCTCTCCTCCTCCTCCTCCCCCCTCCCCCACTTTAGTATTGTGGTTGCTATTATTTTTACAAGGGAGTTATCTCCAAGGCTCCTACAGGTTCTAATACTCTAAGAGTATAATGTGACCTCTTCTGAAAAGGCTGTCTGGATTATCTCTGGGATCTATAGTCTTACCCCTTTTAAATTCATGGATATATTTGTGTAGATGGGATTCCTGTTGTCTTCTGTGTAAGACCTACAAGGTAGACGTTTCTGATTAATCAGGCAGAGGTGTGGGTCCTTGTCTGTGCTTGCTGAAACTGTCTGGGCTGTCCAGCAAGGGTTTTCAAGGTTTGTGGGGGACAAGGCCTGACAGTGTGAGTCCAGAAGTCTGCTCTTCCTGCTAGTGGGGCTCCGTCATCTAACAGCTGTGAGGGGCCATTGTGGCTTCCCCAGGGAGCCAGTGCTGTCTATATTTCATGAGAGTCTGTTTATTCAGCAGGACTGGGTGGCAGCTTGCTCGGTTTCTTGCACCTCCCCTGGGAATGAGAGTTCTTAAAGTATCTGATTGCTGCAGGATGCCAGCCACCCCCACTAGCAGTCCTGGGATATCTCTGATGACTGTCGCCTTGCACAGGTCCAACAGAGGCCCAGCGTGGGGGTGGACACAGACTCGTTACTTCCCAAAGCGCTTGCGGTCTTTCTTTCCATGTCTCCACCATGTCCCCACCTTTCTTTCCCCAGGGCCTTAGTCCTCCTCTTGGAAGCTTGTACCTGCTTCCAGAATGAACCCCTGTTAATGGTCTCATTCTCTGGAGTCTTGTCAGTTCACTGGTCACCCTATTAGCTGCAGTTCTGCTCTGATCACTTCACTCCTCTGTCCAAATATCTTCAATGGCACCCTGTTACCCACAGGATAGAGAGGAAAAGAATCAACTCCTTTTATACTAAGGGTCAAAGAGGCACCTTTTCTCCAGTGTTTTGAGAGACCCCAGTCTTTGAATACTTGCTACATTTTCTAGTCTCCTTGCCATGGCTCATACTGTCCCACTGGCCCTGAATGTTCTTGTCTATCTTTACTTGGCAAAATCCCACTCGGCATTTGATAGATCTGATGTCAACACCTCTAAGAAGAACCACCTTCCCCTGCTGAAAGTGGCCCCTCCTTTCTCAGCATTCCCAAGCCACCAGAATCATGTTTTCTACACTCCACCTCCAGCCCTGAGTGCTCAGCCTCCCGAGGATACTTTCAGTTCCCCATTTTACCATGCTCACAATGCTGTGCCTTCCACATGCTCTTCCTCTGTCCTACACAGTCTTTATTTCGGCTTCCCTCCCTCCTGTGCTATTTCTACATTCTTCTTTCAAGTTTCAGTATTGGGTCAAGCTAGAAGTATCCTCCCATGACCCCCCTCCCCACTTTCTATTCTGATCTAGTACTGCTGGGAAGCAGCATTCCTTCAGTTACCTGCCATTATAGTGTTTGTTTGTTTTTGGTTTTTTCCTGTACCAGGATTCGAACTCACAACCTTGTTCTTGCCAGGCAGGTGCTGTGCCACTGAGCTAAATCCCAACCCCCCATTATAGTTTTTATGTAGCTCTGTGACTGCCCACAGGTTCATTTCTTTGTTCTTCTGGGAGAACCTGATGAACACAGAGCGGCAGTGGAGAGAGAGGCTTTTGAGCTGGGCATGGTCAGACAGTGAGGACAATAGGAACTCAGGGGGGACAAGTGGCTTTGTCTCATGGATGTGAGGATTCAGAGTCCTTCTGATGCAGTATGCATGGGATGCCGAAGGCCCTCCTGTGATCATCTCACTAAGCACTTACAATACCATGGTGAAGTATTTACTTTTGTCTTCAGGTTGCCAGGGAGGAAGCTGAGGTTACTACAATGAGAACTGATCCTCTCACTCAGCAAGTATTTATGATACTTATGCACCAGACACTGTCAGGTATGAGGAATGCAGCAGTGAGCAGGGCAGGCCTCTAGTCTCTGCCTCCAGCCCTTCAGAAGAGAAAGATGTTAAGCTAATGTCACAGTTGGGTATCTAATTACAATTGTGATAGGTTCTATAGAGGATAAATACTGAGGATGCTGGTGGTAGGCCAGGGAAGGCTGCATGAAGAAGGAGTAATTGTGCAGAGCTCTGAAGGGTCACAAGGATAACTTCATGAAGGGAAGTGATGGTGAGGTTGGTGTAGTGGGGGAAGGACCACTGTGAAGGTGCTCGGCAGGGGAGGAGTGGCTTTATGAAAGGATCTATTTGGAGTGCTGAGAGTTACAAGGAGAGAGGCCAGAGAGGAATCAGGGGCCAAATCAGTGTGAGCCAAGTAGGTCATACAGAGGGTTTGGTCTTTGTCTAACAAGAGCATGCCATCCATGGGTTCTGAACAGTAGGGTGATATGATTACATTTGTGCTTCAGATCACTCTGGCAGTTGCATGGGGTAGTTTGGAGTGGAGCAAGCATGGAAAGGGGCAGCTGATGAAGGAGACCATGAGGAGGTTCTTCTGAGAGATGACAGTGACTTTGACTAGAGAGGTGTGGGGGATAAAGGAAAGGGATGTGTCTGGTATAATTTTCAGGCTGGACATTCAGAATCTGGTCTTCCGGACTTTATATACTGTGCATTTTGAAGACTGGGGAAAGAAAATTGAAAAAAAATGTATATTGCAGAGCCACTGCAATTTAGTCCATGTGCCGGGACAGGAACTTGATTCTCCTGTAGACCCAGAAAGAAATCTGTTTCCATGCCTCAAGCCTTGTGTACCTGGTTGGTGAAACCTAGGTCATGCATTTCCGCTCTCTGTGACTGATGGGTGTTCTATGTCTTGTTCTTGCTGCAAAGGATGCAGGAAAATCCATGTCTGGCTTATTTTTACTTCTATTTTGGGAGACAAGTTTTTTCTTTGCTAAGACTCACAACGGTAGGAATGTTTGTCCATGTAGGAAGAGGGCTTATATGTAAGGGGGTTAGAAAGAAGGATGTTCACCCATGAATTATCTTAATACCCACAATGCTTTTATAAAATCAAGTCTGTTTTTTTTTCTTATTTTGCAGAGGGGGAAGCAGATATCAAGACACTGGAAATGCCTCATTTGTTCCCCAGTGAAGTAGTGCTCTGTAAAGCCTCTTTCATCTTAACTGTGGGTGATTTATGATGATAGGTTGACAAGACAGTTCTGTTGCTTCCAGCTCTTGCACTCTCCAAAGTCTTCAAGAAAGAGGGATCATAATTAAATCTTCACGGTCCTGTTCCACTCCTCTCCTCCCAGCTGCTGCCTCCTTGGATTTAAGCCCAGCATTGCTGTTAGAGCTTAACAACTTTCCTAGGTATTTACTGTCTCTCTCTTGTTGACAGTCGCACCTTGAGCTATGCTCCATTGGCCCATTAGACAATGGTAGAAACCGCCCTCACTCCTGGGTCTAATTGAATAATTTCCTGTAAATAGCCTCCATTTCCTGCATGAGGCCGTCTCCTTAGCCAAATTGAGGCAGGCAAGGGCTGCTTCTAATGGGTCTGGGGGGTGGGAACAGAAAGGAGCTGTCCAAATGGAGCCATTGTCACAGCAGGCATTGAATTAATCAGAGACACTTAAGACTTTAAGTCTGTCTTGTAAACTAGCCACTCATGGTGGAGACACAGCCTGGATTCCAGAAGGACCAAGGCTGTAGAATCAATCCTTAGGATTTTCAATGAATTAGGAAGGGCCCCAGGGGTGGTGACGGAGGGTTTGCCTTTTCCTATTTGTCGCCTTTCCTTGCTCATTTCACATGTGTCTTTTCACCCCTCCTACTGGGCAAAGCAGCCTCTCTGCTCTGAGATCCACTTCTCAAGTGCTCCTTGCAGGAGGAAGGTCCTTCTTGAAGACTATCCTGCACTAATCACATATCACTTACATTTTTGAGTGCTTTCATTTAATCCTCATGAAGCTCCTGGGAAGCAGGTATAGCTGAGGGAATCACTTTCACAGAGGATTGGTAATTTCCACAAGATCATGTACTAATCACCTTCAGAGTCAGAATTTAATTCTACCACACTTGAAGAGTTCAACTTCTTTTTGCATTCCAGCGAAGACTCTTGGTGTAGTCTTGAATCCATTCTGGGTTTCTTGACATGCTATGCAGCAATTTTACTTTTTGAATCTTTCATCAGCATGATGAGTTGGACCTGATCATGATCACCATGATGAGGGCAGTGGGAAGGGGTTGCAGGAAAGGAATTAGAACAGAGACAGAGATTTGGTGTAGGAACTTCCTGTTTGTGACCAGCCCCTTGGGGCTGGATGTTGGCATCAGGGAATGGGATGGATGTGCTTGTTAGCAAATGCTGGATATGTGTTGGTTATTTGTTGCTGTCACCGTCTTCACCTGCTAAGTATTTCTCTTCCAATCATAAACACTGGATTCTAGTTCTCTGTATTTAGTAGTACAAAATTCTCACTGAATTTCAGAGGTATCTTTTTTTTTTTTTTTTTTTTTTTTTTTTTTTTTTTTGGTTTTTCTCTGGTACCGGGAACTGAACTCACGACCTTGCGCTTACCAGGCAGGCGCTTTTGCCGCTGAGCTAAATCCCCAGCCCCAGAGGTATCATTTATAATAGAGGCAGGAGGATATTAAAAGTGAGTGAAGCATTTAGAACAGTACCTGGCACATAGTAAATGATCCGTAAACATCACCTATTATTATTGTTAGAGGCACTTTATAAACATCATCTGGAGGTAAACTCTTGGTCTTCCACATATTCTCCATCATTCATTCCTCATCCTCAGTGAAAATGAGCTGTGGTGCCACGGAGAATTAATGCAATCCAGGTTGCTGTCCATGTTGGTTATCCTTTAGGGTCCTGTCACCAGTTCCACACTGGTTTCAGACATCCAGGAATCTGTCCCACTGAGGGAAAAATGGCAGGCATAAAGAGTAGAGTCTATGAATGGGACACAGATACATATGTAACACAGATGTCCCCAAGAGGGTCCCCAGCCTCTGGAAACACAAGAGTTCACCTGAAAGAAGGTTTTGAGAGCTCCACTTGTGTAACTGCTGGGCAGCTGTGAATGAAATGCCCAATGCTTCTTTCCAAACGACCCTGGATCAAGTCAGGGATTGGGAGTTGACTGTAGAATTTCATGATCACCAAACCATGTTTTGGAAATCTACCTCATAGAAACTCAGAACACTGTTCTGCACTGAGGCTCGGGCTAACAACAGCAATTCTTTCTTTGGGTCCCCCAGATACAGCTTGAACCAGACTCAGCTGTCTCTCTGCTGCTGTAGGTATGTGTCCCCTGACTCTTTGGGATCCTGTTGGTTCACACTTAAGAGGCCTTAGAACTTTCTTACCATGTCCCTATCCCTCACCTACTCTAGGCTTTAATTCTCCCTGCAGTGTTTTTCCTTTGCCTTTTCTCCTGTCTATGATAAAGACAGAAATAAAATAATTACTCCCTGCCATCTAATTGCAACTTAGCTGTTATCCCCAAAAGTGGTATTTTTCTTTTTATACATTAGCTAAGTATATCAAAAAAGGGAGCAAGAACTTCACTTTGTTGCTTTTAGGTTTTTCTATTGGTTCACAAATTTCCAAGATATGCTTTCTCATAATGATAAGAATGATAAAAATAATCATAATGATAACACAATTATAAACATTAATTGAGCACTAGTTCTGTGCTACATATTTCTGTTTTTGGTGGTTCTGAGGATCAAACTTAGGGTTGCACACATACTACACAAGTGCTCTACCGCTGAGCTGTACTCCAAGTTTCACCCCCTCTTTTACACTATTTTGAGACAAGGTCCTGCTTACATTGCCTGTGTTGGCCTAAAACTTGGGATTCTCTTGCCTCAGTTTCCTAAGCAACTTGAATTATAAGTGTGTGGCACCACATCTGGTCTAAATGCTTTATATCTAATTTTTTGCTTCTCCCTCAGCATAGGTGACTGTGGGCTGAGGACATAGGCAACTCTTGGGTAATGACCATAACAAATAGCTACTGTTTATTTAGTTCTTACTATGGCCTAAGACATTTATACTACTTATCTCATGTCATTTTATAACTGTTCTTTAAAATCATTATTATTTGATGGAGAAATGAGGGTAAACATAAATGTGTTAAAATTCCCTGCATTCATTCTTTTTAAAAATTTTATTTAAATCTATTGGTACAATTTAGGATTATATAATGATCCTATTCATTATATGGAATTTGTATTTGTACACAATATACCTCGATTCCTCTTTTTCCCCCATTCCCATCACTTCTTTTCAGACCTTCTTCCCCTGTCCATTCACAAAGCTGTTTTTATTTTATCTTTCTTTCCTTGTATTTCTCTTTCCGTTCTTTCCTTCCTTTCCCTTTGTCTTAGTTACTTTGCTAAGTAACTAAACAAAATACTCAACACCCAAAGTAAAGGAGGAAAGGTTTACTCAGCTCACAATTTGTGGAGGTTTCATTTCATAATCATCTGGCTGCAAGGCAGGGTGGCATGGCTGAGGGGCAACAGTTCAAGGTGGCAAAAGACACAAAAGCAACAAGAGCAAAAAAGACAGCACGCCTCTTTTCCTCCCTTATACTGTATGCATGCTACCTGCCCTAGGGCAGTGTAACACTCACATCATCTCCATGTCCCCGTCTTGCACAGGCTGTGGATGCTTACAGACTGAGGCCCCTGGCCTCCTGCTGAGTCAAGCTGGAATGGCTGTAACTCTGTTTCCTGGGTTGAGGGCATGAAAACAAGAGGTCCAGGTTTAACAAGCTGTCTTTGAAAAGCCTACCCCTATAACCGCATGAGGCTTTGTGGGGACATTCAGACACAAAGTATAGCACTCCTTCCTTTGCCCTCTTTTCCTTTTGAACAGTTTCTTCCTATTTTACAATATCTACTGTATATTTTGGTTCTTATTTACAATTTAGGTTTCTCACACCAGAGAGATAATGTGATATTTATACATGTGTGTCTGATGTATTTCTCTTACGATTATAGTCTCAAAGTCCATCCATTTAGCTATAAATGTCTCAATTTGATCCTTCTTTGTGACTGTAATACTCCATTATATAGAAAAAAATCACATCTTTTTAATCCATTCATCAGTTAATGGGCATTTACATTACTTCCAAGATTTAGCTATTACAAACTGTGCCACTATAAACATGGGTACACATATATTTCTGTGGGGAGGATGCTTTTAATTCTTCCAGGAAGATACCCAGAAAGGAAATTACTGGGTCAAATAGGAACTTTTAATCCTAGTTTTGTGAGGAATCTCCACAGTGATTTAACCAGCCTACACTCCCACCAACAGGGGAGAAGGATGCCTTTTCCCCACAGCCCCATCAGCATTTGTCATTAGCTGTTTCTTATTAATAGCCATTCTTTCTGGAGTGAGAGGGAATCTCAGTGCTATTTTAATTTGCATTTCCTGACCAGTGATGTTGAGTATTTTTTCCCTATATTTATCTGCTGTTTGTACTTCTTTATCTGAGAAGTGTCCATTTTTGTATTGGGTCTTTGAATTTCAAGGATCTGATTTTTTTTAATTCTTCATATGTTCTAGATATTAGTCCTTTGGATGAAGAACAGCTGGCAAATTTTTCTCCCACTCTGTGGGTTGTCTTTTCACTCTTTTTGTAATTTCCTTTGCTGTGCAAAAACTTTCTGATAAGATATAATCTCAGTTGTTGATTCTTTGTGATAATTCCTGAGCAATCCAGGTTTTGTTCATAAAATTTTTGCCTATACTTATGTCTTCCAGAGCCCTAGCTCTTCTCTCTTCCAGATTTAGTGTTTCTGTTTTATTATTTAGATATTTGATCCATTTTGATTTTAGTTCAGACTACTTATTCTTTCAGCAGACACACACTAAATGCAGGCCCCAGGTTCAGGTGCAGGAGCACACAAGACCCTTGTCCTCAAGAGGCTTACAGCTTAGTGGTGTCCACAGACAAAGAAACAGGCAACAGGAGCAAGTGAGTCTCTGGAATTATCAAAGGCTCCTGTTCATTCTAGGCTCTTCCCTCCCTGTACTTTGCAGATTGACCATTTAATTCTATTCCTGGAATCACCAGAGGCCACTTTGTGTTCAGCCCCATTACTATTAATTACAGTCCTCCTCTTCCATTCTTTTCTCTTAGGGAACACTTGCAATTATGAAGTAATAGTCTCCTGTTGACTTGCCCAGGTAAAGGGGATGCAATCTCTATTTTCCTGAAGAAAGATTGCTCCTTGGCTTGGAGGAGTTGGGAGAGAAGGGTAAAATCAGTTCTCTAGGAGCAGAGAAGGGACAAAATTAGGCAGGGGCACACCACCGTTAGGCATCTAGTTTTGTGAGGAAGGAGGACACCATCATTCTGGTTCAATACAAGAGGAGGTGCAACAAACACATCCCAATGCTGGGCTTGGAGGCCACCAGAACCTATGTCATTTTGTCCATTAAGATGCTTTAGCTCATTTTGGCTGATTTCAATGATAAATTTTATGGTTTTAGGTAATAGAAAGCCTAGCAGTAACCACACTGTGGGAGTAATTGATTCAGTGACTCTATGATCAAGGACCCAGACATTTTTCTCTGTTTGCCAGCTGTATTCTCCATCTCTCTCCTTTCATGCTTGAAAAATGGTTTCTAGTAGTAGTGAAGTAGATTTGATTCTTTGTTCAGGTGCTGTAGGAGAAATACGTCTTGCCTGGTGGCTTTCTGTTAGGAGAAAGAAAACATTTTCTAGGACCAGTCTTGTCCTGCTCCTTGGCCTAAACAGAGCTCCATGTCTCTTTCACTTACAGATCAGGTGATATGATATCACCTGAAGTACAGTGGATTTGGGAAAGCTGCCATTATGCTTATTACGGGATCACATTTTCTGTTAAGCCCAATCGTAGCAAACAATCCAGTGCTCAGTTTGTATATTATATATAGCTAAGGAATTAATGTGTAGAGTTGCCAGATTTAGCAAATAATATAGGTTGCCCATTAAATGGGAGTCTCAAATAAACTGTGCCTACAGTTTTAGTTCAAAGTATGCTTAATGCAATATTTGCTGGCTTGTGTGTCCCAGTGTTTGGTGCACACTGCAGTGGGTCAGGTAAATGTTTGGCGATGTGACATGAGGAAAGTCTATAAGGAGTTACAGTAAGCTAAGGACTCTGAACAAAGGTCAAATCTGTGTCCTACCTTAGTCGTGTGAGGACATTAGTGTGTAAGTTGGTTAAAAAGAAGAGGACTGGGAGACCTTCCCTCCATACCTGCTTTGGTTCCTTGTGTCCTAGATTCCAGAGGGAGAGAGAGAGAGAGAGAGAGAGAGAGAGAGAGAGAGAGAGAGCGAGCGCAAGCAATTGCACTTCTTCTCTTAGAGTTCTCATTAACTCCTCTTTTCCTGTCTTTTCAGGGACCTGACCGTTGTGGGCAGGCCTTGCTGCGCATTGGAATCAACATGATGGCCTTACCTGGAGGCCGCCAGCTGGACTCCATTCCCCTGCCTGGGCAGCGGTAAGTCCTACAGCTGCTTCTTAGCAGCTGGACAGAATTGAACATGAAGCTGATTCTTGGGGGTGCTTATTGCCCTGAGCTGTGTGGTGTGGGTAGAGGGTGGAGAGGCATACAGTGAGCAGAAGGTGAAGTCCAGCTGCTGAGGGGACAAGGGCTTGGGAGTCCGAGGGAGAGATGTGGGCCTTCCCGTGGTATCCCCAGGCAGCCTGTGGTTCACATGTGGTGGCCAGTGTAGATTCTACCCGCCTCATCCTGGGGCCCAAACCAGAACCAGGGGTGGAAGTCCACAGTGCTAGATCTATGCTGACCAACTGTTGTGGTTTGCCTGGGACTGTCCTGATTTTGGCATGATAATTCTGTGTCTCTGAAACAGTTGGTCACTGTAAGTGAGCTGGCATCTCGAGAAACTTTGCAACCGAACAATGCTTAAGGCTTCCTTTATGCCATTTTTGTGATATTGCTAAGACATTTTGATGGGGCCATTTTGAGTCAACAGAATCTAAGTAACCTAAGTAAGACAGTTAAATCATTATTTTGCAGTTTTTTTTGTCTTATGTATTATGTGTATCACTGGCTCTATAATTTCTATTTTTTTTTAATCTTTGAGTTTTATTTTATTGAGTATGTGTGTTGTTTTTAAAATAAAAAATGATTAATTGCTAAAATTGTATGGCTATGAGGTTAATATCTATGAAGACATCAGTCTGCTTTCCTAAAGCTATCATTAGAATGAGGATTAAGTATAGTTTTTGCATGTCCCTGAGGACTTAGAACACTATTAGAAATTTAATTAAGAATTTCCCTAGAAACCAACCAAACAACAAATACACAAAAATCTGGGAGGCTGAGGCAGAAAGATCACACATACAAGGCCAGCCTGGGATACAGAATGTGTTCAAGATCAGCCTGGACTATACAGCAAGATGCTGTGATATGGTTTAGATTTAAAATCTTCCCCAAAGTCTCATTCATTCAGAGGATGGGTTTTTGGAAATTATTGTAGTATGGGTGCACATACTCACCAGTGGATTCAGTCACTGGTGAGTTCATGGCTGAATGTGCTGTCAGGAGGAAGCTCCTGGCAGAAGAGGAGTCACTGGTGGGCTCTGAATCAGAAAGGTGTATTCTTGTCCATGGCTGCCTCTCCTGTCCTACCCTCCCCTCCCCTCCTGAACTCTTGCCTTCCTTTTCCTGCTCCTTATTCTTCTCCTTCTTCTCTTTCTTCTCTTTCTCCTTTTCATTCTCTTCCTCCTCCTCCTCTTTCTCATCTTCATTTTCCTCCTTCTTTCTTCTTCCCCTTCTCCCTTCCTGACTGCCATGTGTTGAACAGATTCCCTTCACAATGCCCTTCTACCTTGTTGTTTTTGCTTTGGAGCAAGCCAACAATACACTGAATCTCCAAAAATCGTGAGCCAAAACCTCTCTTTTAAGCTGTGGGTGTGGGATTTTGTGCCAGTGGCAGGAAAATGCATGGCATACTCTGTCTGAAACTAAAGAAACATTTTTGTGTTGCCGGGAAGCTCAGAATGAGAATAAGGGATCATAAGGGGACCCATTATCTTTAGACACAATATTTCCAAGGTAAAACTCAGACATGGAGAGATACAAGTCTGTCAAGACGTATATGTATTTTCAGAGACATGGCTTGCTTCCTCTCAAAATGTCTGCGGACTTTTATGAGATGAACAAATATGGTCAGTTCTGGCCACATGGCTACCTAGCTGGGCTCTGCCTCTCACTGGCTGTGTGGTCAGTGCAAGTTCCTGAGTCCCTGAGTCCACTCTTATTTGCCTTATGTGTAAGACAAGAGTAAAGATAGAACCTAGTTCTTAGGGTTGATGTGTGATTAAACAAAGTTTTACACGCACAGTATTCATTATATATCAACAGATACATAAGAGGAGCTGTACTTCAGTGAGTGTCTGCTGCATGGCAGGGTCCCTTCTTGTAGCTAGTCCCACAGAATTCTTCCAGAAAATCCTCTCTTAACCTTGCCTCTTGTTGGGTAACCTCACTGAGAAAATAAGAAATCACAGACACTCCCAATAGCTTTGTATTTGAAATCAGGAACATGTGGAACTGTTCTGAATGGAGTAGAGCCTATGTCTGCCTGTCCCTGCCCTGCCCAGGTCAGGACTGTGCAGCCACGTGGGCGCCAGCAGCTCTGATTATGGGTCCTGGGCCGGTCAGACCAGAGCCTGAGCTGGGGGTAGAGAAGTAGATTAGGACAATGATTAGGAATCTAAACTGCCTCAGTTTGAACTTTCTTCTGCTACTGATTAGCTATGACTTTGGGCTTCAATTTCTTCATCTCTCTCTCTCCTTTTCTCCTTTCCCCTTCCTCTCCAATTTCCAATGCCCTCAGAAGTTCTAAGGGTAAAAGAAATTAAATTACATGTAAATGATATGGGAATCAAATTATTATTCTCTTGGAGGAAGGGTAGAAATTCTAACTCATCTTGTACAGCAAGTATCTCAAGAGGAAAACCCCAAACTAACATAACGCTGAGAGTTCTGGCTGGCCATGAAAGCTGCAGTGTATGCAGATGTTTTTCTACATGGTCATCATCCTTACAGTTTGAAAGGGGCAAGGTGGGCTGTAGGTGGTGTTTCCTTTAATGTATTCACAGTGGAGCATTGCCAGGGCTGCCTACCCACAGCATTGGGGGATGTGATCTCTGGTCTTGCCAACCTGTTCATGGTCAGGGTGTTCCGGGCTCAGGTGCATGAGCTGCATTCACAGATGAAGGCTTGGGTGAGTTCACAGAATGTCCCAGGGTTTCACTTGTTCAATCTGATGCTGCATTACGGGCAGACAATAGCAGCCACACATTTTTCCTTCTGCTCCAAGCTGCAAAGGCCTCTCTCGTGGAGAATAACACCGTGGTCATTGTCCCCAGATAAATAATTAATGCTGGGTAATTGACTTCTTTCCTTTGTGTTCTGCTGAAACTGAATTTCACTTTGCAGGGATAGTGTTCCCTTTAATGTACAAAAATAAATAAATAAAATGTACGGTCAAGTAGTGTGGGATCATCCAGCAACCTGGGTGAATCACATAGATTAGCCCATTGGTGCTAGAAATCCTGACAAGTAAGCAGCAGCAAGCCAAAGGAATTATTCTAGGTGCAATCTACCTGAAGAGGGTGCACGGCAGGGAGGGTTGCTTCTCTAGCCTGCAAGTGGGGTCCATGCTGAGTTGGCATGGGCCATGGGAGGGGATATGGTGGCTGCAGTGCTTCTTAACTTTGATTGCATCAGAATCTCCTGGAATTATATCGTATTGAAAAACAATGAACTCAACTATTAAAAGAACAAAAATCCCTGCTCTTGGAGTCTTTAGTATGAGTGTAAGTGGTTGAAAGCAGATACACCTTGGAATCAGACCTCAGCTCAAATCCTAACTCCATTTTTGTTACCAGCTTTGTTATCTTCAGTAGCTGCTTCACCTGTCTGAGAACCAGTTTCGTTTTGTATATGATGGTGGCAGTGAGGGCTACTTTTAAAGTTACATAAGTGCTTGGGCACAGGAAGGAAGGTCTCCCTAGGATTGTACAGTGCATTGCAGCACACGACCCTCACTTCCCCAGGCCCCACCAAGAATAGTAACAGTACTCATCGTTCAGTAGTGAGCGTACTGTAAGCGTAGGTCCATGTATCCCCTTGGAGGGTAAGGATTAATTGATGGGAGTGAACAGGGCTGGAGATGAGCTCTTTAGACAGAGGGGACTGTGTCTTCTATGTCCTTAGCCAGTCTTCATTAGTGCTCAGATTCTGAATGCCCATCTTTCTGTACAGGTGCTGATCATTTCCTGGCATTTGGGTAATGCTGGGACCTAGCTACGGTGGTCCTCCGTGGTGATCAGTAGCCTGGTGTCAGTCTGCATGTCTCCTACTCCTCTGATGTACCTGTCCTTATGTGAAGGTGCCTAGGAGGTAAAATGGGGTCCAAAGTCCACAGAGGGCATGTCCAGTCATTTCCTATCCTCTTCCCTCCTTCCTGCTACTTCTCTTGGCCATTTACCTTGCTAGGGTGTCCTGACACATTCTTTTCCAGGTTCCTGCCAGTGAAGAAGTGGGATCCCCACTCTTGTTTTGAGTTCTCTAACTTTCTTTTATTTTAAAGAGATAAAAGATAAACAATGAAACAAGTTAGTAGGACAGTGACAATAGTTGATATATTGCATATTGTTGTATTGTTAATCAGAGTACAAGATACAGACATGATCTTGTCTAAACAATATTAGCACAAAGCATTCCTTCCAAGGAACTAAGAGAAGCTAGCTATAAAACTACTTAACTATCTTATGCATATTTTTTTCTTTTTCTCTTTCTTCCTTTCCCCTTTCCCCAAGGCTGTTTGTCTTTTCTTTTGCACAGTTTTTTCCCCCAGTTCACAATATCTGCTGTATGTTTCAGATCCTATTTTCTTGTTCAATTTCTGTCCCCACGCTTGACTAAAGGGCTAACATTCACCATTCCCCTAAGAAAGGTGGTTCACACATTCAAGCACTTCCAATAACCTGAGTATTTTTGCACAAAGCTATTCATTTAGCACTCACTAGGTTTGTGTATATATTTATTACTCTTATTTTGCAGAGAAGGGAATCACAGGTTGGGTTCTCTGGGAAGTAGTCTTTGAGGTAGAGCTCAGAATTCAGGGTGCTTATCGGCGGGCCCCTTGTGAAAGGGTAAGGGAGGAAGCAGGGCTGGGCAGAGGTGAAGTTGAGCTGTGACACTGACTTGACAACCTCAGCTGACCTCACAGAGAGCTTTGCAATAAGAGTTGTTACTCATTGACCAAATTAACCTGTAGACCCTACCTTGATCTTTCATTGGAATAGATTAAAATATACTTCTAAAATTGAGAGACTAGTAGGCTAGGGCTGCTCCAGTGCTTTAAAGTTAGCCAGCAACTGAAGCCCAGTGTAAATCATAAAATGAAATCAGAGACTTTACCCATCATGGATCACTAACTACCCTCTAGCTGGAGTCTTTCT